CCAGTAGCCTCTAGATAAATCTAATAGGGTAATATTTTGCTTTTGCTACAGTTTCGATACATTCTTCAATATTAGGCAAATGATAGTATTCAGTTTTAGTAACAGCATTCAGTTTACGATAATCAATACAAGGCCAAGGATCCTTTGATGAAGATTCTATCAAAATCATGGGAGATGTATAGTTCGATTCTCCCGGCTCTATAATTTTAAGATCGAGCATTTTCTGGATTTCCTTTTTGAGAATTTCAGTCTGTCGGGGTGACAGTCTGTATAGCTTTATTTGTATTGGTTCGTTATTTAATAGCTCAATATCATGACAAACTAAGTTTGTTAGTCCAGGATTATTGAAAAAACAACCAGAATTTCCATAAAATCTTTCGTAAATCTTCTATTTGCTCGGATTTCAACCTTTTCTCGAGTTCATTCTCCCTCTATGATGTCCGAGAAATTTAATATACTTGGATGGAAGGTAAACGAGGAATGTCCATTTTTAAGTCTCCTTCCACTTCAGTTATCATATTAATCATTTCTGGTCTTTTGTAATATGGTTTAAGCATGTTAATGTGATATACTTGATTTGGCTCATTTTGTTCCTCGAAACTTACAATATAATTGGTTTCTGAAATTTTCTGCTCTATTTTTCCAGGTCCTTTCCACTGTACTTCTAGTTTATTTTGACGATTCGTTGATAAAACAAGAACTAAATCTGCTCTAGCAAATTCTCTTTTCACTGCGTTTCGATCGTACCATGTTTTCCTCCTCCGTTGTTGAGCTTTCTTCATGTTTTTCCACGGCAAGTTCTTGGCATTTTCTTCCTTCGATTAATAAGTTCGAAAACGTAACTGACAACATTATTACTTTCTTCAATCGGTTCTAGCCACTGCTCATAAAGTAAAGTGACTGGCGTTCGTAGGTTTTTGCCATGAACTAATTCTGCTGGTGTAAACCAGTGCTTCGTGTGTGACTGTTCTGAGAGCAAAAAGAACTGATGGTAGATAATTCTCCCCAATCCGAAGTCGCTCCTATACATACGACTCTTACACACCCTTTTTCGCGTTCTATGGAATCGCTCAACGGGATTACTCTGCGAATGATACACAGAGCTTCTTACATGGTTAATGCCGAAACGCTCCAAAAATTCCTCTGTCAAGCACTGACGAAAGAGGTCCCCTGATCTGTTTGGATCACTTTTGGGAAACCCATACGACTGAAAATCTGTAAGAAAGCATCAATCACAGATGGCGAAGAAATGTCTGTCACCGCTACAGCATCTGGATATTTGGACGACATACATAGAGCTGTAATAATATATTTTTTTCCAGTCTTCGAAATAGGTAGCGGACCAACGGCATCGGCATTTATTTTAGTGAATATTTCGGAAATTACTGGTACTAATGTCATTGGAGCCTTCTTTTTGTCATTTCCTTTTCCAGCGCGCTGACAAGCATCACAGGCTCTTACAAAATCTTCAGTTTCTTTGTAACACCTCGTCCAGTAAAAATATCTAGCAAGTCTGTCTTTGGTCTTTTTGACACCCAAATGACCAGAAGTTCCTTCGTGGCACATCTTTATAATTGACGGCTTGAGTTTTTTCAGGTATAACGACAAGCTGTCTTTCAAAGCCATTTTATCCGTCGTTTTTTTAACTAAAATTCTTTTCCTGTCAGACTATAGTTTCATTTTTGCATGTACCTTCTTTAACTTCTTGGATGATTTTAGACAGTTCCTTATCAGCAAGCTGAAGTTGTGCAATTTCTTCTGAGTCAATTTTACCAGTTTCAATGAGAGCTTCATCTTCTGTATTTAGTCCGGTAAATTATCTTCTTCTTCAAAAAATCTCTGGATGCTTTATTTTCTTTCCTTCATCGGTTCCAAGAGCTTCTCTTCAGCTATTTCTCTTTTCCTTTGAGCTCTAATAGAGACAGCATTAACCTGGTGAGGACAACTATCAGGCTCCTTTCCTTGTTTATTCAACAGTGCAAAAGTTCGATTGCCTAATAAATACCTTCCTTTGTCGAGTTCATTTCTAATAATGGCAGCCTTAGTTATTACTCGCCCAAGATCGCAATTTAGTTCGATCTCAGCCAATGGTAAACCAGGTTGGATTCAAGTCTAATGGCGTTGCACCCACAATTTTCACCTGTCAGCATTTCCGGCGTGATGTATTTGCGACAAACTATATCAATACTAGCACCTGAATCCCTAATATAGGAATTTTATGACCATTTACGTAACCCATACTAGTATAGGTAATAGAAATTTATCCTCTGGTTTGCACTAATTCTGTTTAAGATTAGCAGGAGATTCAGTACTATTCTTAAGTTTTGGACATTGGGGCCTTAAATGTTGATAGGACCCACACTGATAGCATTGTGGCGTCTTTCATTTTTCATATTTATCATCTGGGACGTGGACTTCTAGGTCTATGAAACAAGCTTTGCGTATTAAATCCTGATGACAATTTTGTTTTCAGTTTTATTTTATTATCTGAACTCAATTTACCTTGAGTTAGTGCATTGTATCTTTCTTTCTTTCCGCTATCCACTAAGGCTTTTTTTTTAAGTTTCCGCAAACGTTTTCATAGGCATCAAGTTTTTCAGCTAATTTTTTAGATGAAATCATCTCTACCCATCATCAAGAAAATGATCTCGAATTCAGAGAGGAACTCGACGCTTTAAGTTGGTCAAGCACCATCAAATCTAGCAAACTGATCAAAGTCTTAACTCCTAGACCAGTCACCCATTTCCTTGCAATAATTTTCTATTTCATATTGAAATCCACCCACCCATGTGGATTCGGTACTCTTTTTGATGTTTTCATAAATTTCTGCCTAAACTTTTCGGGCTTAGTTTAAACCGTCTTAACAATAAATTCTTCACGTGTTCATAGTCTTTAGCTTTATCGGAGGGTTCTCTAGCTATTAACTGGGTTACTCGTAAGGAAGTAGTCCTAGTAAATGAGATACAAATTCTTCTTTATCAATTTTAGCCCATTCTGCTTGCCTTTCAAACAATAGCAAATATACAATGATATCTCCTTTCTTGTCATCGAATTTCTGCATAGGTGACGCAGCTCCGTTTTCGCGGCGATCTGTCCGGTATTTTGAGACTTGTCTCTGCTTCAAGTCTTAATCTCTCTAATTCATACTGTTCTTCCCTTCTCAGCTCTTCCGCTTCTTCCTGTCTTCTACGTTCTTCTCTTTCCTCCCTCTCTTTCCGTTCTTCTCTTTCCCTTTCCTCCCTCCCTTTTGTTCTTCTATTATTGTGTCTAAGATTCCTTTGACGAATACTTTATCATAATCTCTACTTTCAACAATTTTCTGTTCTAAATCGACTATTTTCAAATCTGCAGTCACATGAAATCCCAGTTCAGCCGCAAGATTTTGCAAATCTTCCTTACGAGCTCTTCCTAATTAAGACATTGTTTCTATGTTTAAAATTAACGAACACTGTGTTCTTTCTACTTCCTCAAAATAGCTCAATTCAATTACTTTAAATAATTAATGGAGTCAGGAATCACGAAATTAAATGCACTCTGTTAAATACGTGTACCTCAAAAATGAAATATTTAAATTATATGAAGTTCATTCTCTCTACCACATTAATTGTGATTAAAATAAGATAATACATAGAGCAATATATATATATACCGTCGGCCAACTAAAATGAATATTAAATATAATATCAAATACGGTAATAAATAAGACAATTAATATTAACAGGAAATAATAATCTGGTACGCTATATTGCGTTCAGTGATGACTAATAAAATAAAGCAATTCTATGAACATATATCACTAATATATGCAAAACTAAAAAAATAAAGCAATTCTATGAACAGGAAGTATAATCTGGTATCACTAATTATGTTCAGTGATGAACTAATAAAATAAAAAACGCACGATTATTCGATCGTCGGTGCCTCCAAATAATTATGACTGTAATACTTCTTTGGCGATATGAAGCAACTCCAATATGGAACACAGCAATAACTTTTATTTAACTCAAAAAATGGCGACATACAAACAAGAAGGAAAACATATTCTATCATTTAAAATAAATACATTCTTCGTGCGAGAGTCGCACGTGGCACTCGAGTCTGGTTTCAAATTGCCATTTACAAATACCTTAATGTTCATCTATTAATTATTTAACACAAGATTGTTAATACTTTTTAAGCTGTTACACCTTCCATCTGTTGTTTTGTCACACGAACTTAAGCGATTATTCGCTAACTAGTTCTTAAGATTCGTCACTTTCTACAGTAACTGAGAAATACACTAGTGAGAATCTTACATGATAAAGCTAATTTTTCAAATTTTTAGGTATAAAATAACGTATAACGTATAATGACGTTTTTGCTTTAGACGACTAATGTTTTGAAAATATTGTCAATTAAGTGGGCAGAAATCAATGTGAAGAACGTATTTGCTTGCTTCCAGAGAGCATACCAGTCAAATTGTCTCTTGAAATGCGTCAAGCGTTTTTATTTGAAATTGAGCCAAACTTAAGTAAAAATTTGCTTATTTTTCACGCTCAGGTTGGACTTTAATCGAAAACGTATTACTTACGCGTGCTATAAATATTCTCCCATGTTTCTTGAAGGAACAATTCATAGTGCTATAAGGTATTTCACCCGCCTCCTTCTTTCTTTTCTTAACTCGTCACTTTCTACAGTAACTGAGGAATACACTAGTGAGAATCTTACATAATAAAGCTAATTTTTCAAATTTTTTTCACATTTTTTTAGCTTCGTAGTGTAGCGGTCGCACGCTCGACGCGTATTCGAGAGAGCCGTGGTTCAATCCCCAGCGAGGATGTTGCTCATTTTTCATCTCTCCTGCCTCCAATTAACCTAATGTCTCTGCAGTGGCGTCCGAACTAAAAGGGTTGGTGGATGATGATTCTCCACACACAGGAATTGGCGTTTGGGTTGCCTAAAATCCCAGTCGCCCTTTAAAAGGGGGAGTATATAAAGTATTTCTCCTTCCTTCTTAGCATGCCTTCGTAGTGTAGTGGTGAGTACACTCGACGCTTACTCGAGAGGTCCATGGTTCGATTCCCAGCGAGGACGTCGCTCATTTTTCATCTCTCCTGCTTTTAATTAATCTAATGTCTCTACGGTGCAAATATCTTTCCCGAAATTGGAAACTTAAATACATGAATATAGTTTACCTAATCCTGGTAAATTACCAAGTGAATCTTTGTAGAAATGCAATCATAATTGTTTTAAATCCCCAAAATATAATATTTTTCTTTTATTATATTACTATATATGTATTCTTTATAGTATTTAAAAGTAACGGGTAGATGGTTGTGAAATTTATTTTAGTTAACACTTTATTGCCATGTTAATTTCTTTTTGTATCTTCCGTTTTATCTGTCAGCTTTCACCAGAATGCAAATTAGTTAAGTAGTAATTATCGAATTTGTAGTTTAAAGAGAATATTAGGGCAAATGTACAATATAATAGCGCGTTAAACGTAGAAGAAGAACCGTCCACCTATTCAGCCTGTGAATTTGATAAATGAATTTTGTATCTGTGAGAGCGCAGAATTTGAATCGCTGTTGTCGGAGCCGGGTTGATATATAATATTGTTTTACTATTTTAAATATATACGTTTTGGAAATATTGCATGTAACGGTGAATTTTATTTTTCCCGTTTTTAATTATTTTCTTAATAAACCTCTTAAGTTTTATCTCTTCTCTAGGTTCTTGCAGTTTATTTAGACTTCTATTCAATTTGTAAGGTTATAATTAGTTGAATCAAAATGAGCCATAAGTGTAAATCAGGTAGGTAGTTATATTTAATCTTACATTTTTCTATGTAATAAATTTTCTATACCCTAAAATGTAAGGGTAATAATCTAAGGGTAATAAAAACAGATGTAAAGAGAAAAAGCGTTGCAATATTATGCTTTCACGGCTACAGATGTTTTATGACCATTCCCGTTAAGCGATAACATTAACTTCACATCGACTTATTACATTAAAATTCTTTCCTAATAAACCCTATATTGGTAGATTCAAAAAGGGTTATTTGCACAGGTTCGCATAGACCAGATAAGCATTACATTATCATCATACATGGTCACTCTTAATTATACACGGGAATTATGATACAGGCACCTTATATGCAAGAGTGTGGTATACCATGATACGGTTAATTATTCACAAAAAATAGTTATACACCGCATATACAGGATAAATTATCATATGATAAGCTTATACACTGGTGCATATTGAATTGTCATCACATAGCCATTGTAACCGTTATCGATACACTGCCTACATCGTTATAATAATAATATATACAGTTTGCATTTACATTGTTTTTTTTGGGCTTGCATAGTGTTCATTGCTTATTAATCAGTACATACTACATTACATTTAGATTATGATACATTGACACCTATTACGATTTCATTAATTACATATATATTGATACTTGGCTTACGTATTAGATTGTACTACATCAAATTAACAAGATAGTTTTATCAGTACATACTACACTACATATTACATTATTGCGATACATGGTTTACACATTACATTATATTCTACACATCAGATTGACAAGACGAAATAACGCCTTACCTTAACATTACATTAATTGCCAATGCTTATTACATTAATTTTCTTTCCTATATACCGTATACTGTAAAGAACTTATCATCAGATTGTAATAATGTTGTTTTGCACTGGCTGCGCATTAAACAAGGATGCGCATTAAAATTAACACAGGAAATAGTGATACATAGGAAACATTATACAGAAGGATTATATACATACATGATACGAAGTTATACGCAGGGAATTTGTTATGCACAGGTGAAACATTATGCAGGATAAATTATACTGAATAACTTATACGAATGTGCATATTATACTTAAACCGGTAAACTTTACAATGCCATTCTGTACCGAAAACATATAATGGATTACATTGGCATTCCTAATATACGTAGATTACTTTTGCATTTACAATTAGTACATTACTGCGGGATTTTACATCTGTGCATTTCTCCATTATTCACATTTCGCACCTGAGGATATGTCGCGCTATATGCATGTGATTGTATTAGTACGCGTAGTACATGAACTCATGAACTGTCCTGCATTGCGTGATTTGCCAGTATTGACACATTGCTGTTCTGTTGAAGGCAGTTTTACGCACTGCAAAGTGCATAGTTATATGCGCGATTACTGACCTCAGTGCGTAATGATTATTACTGACTCAGTTCATAGAATTATTGGTCTTGCTGAACGCATAAATCCTTTCGACAAGCTGAAAAATAACTTTACTATCTAAAACTGAACTTATATATAAGGCCAAGGTTTGATCACACTTTATTTCCCACCTTATTCTCTCTTAAAGGAAAAAAAAGAACATTTCTCAGAATCATCCAGATGCATCTAAAAAAATAATGATTTTGTTTGGTAAAATTCAATATTAAGACTACACACTCAGACGAAATATACGTAAAAAATTAATATTTTGCACAAGTAATCTGTAACTTCGATACTTAAGTTTTGGAGAAAGTGCAGGATTCCATCTTCGATACTTAATTTTTGGAGAAAGTGTAGGATTCCATATCGTATTAATCTAATTTATGAATGAACGTTTCGGCAATCAAGAACTTAACCAGAAAAAAGACATTTTGCTAGTGTGTTGTCTCATCCCCTGAAGAAAAGTTAAGAAACCAGTCTACAACCTTGACTTCTTTCAATAAATCAACCTGGAAGCGTAACGTTCGAGGACGAGTTTCGAAACACGTGCGGACAGGAAAGCTAAAAAATAAAGACAATAAAAAAGAATATAGAACCATCCATTTCGCCATAGTCGTCACTACTAAGGTCACACCCCTTTTAGAATTCATATTCTCTCTCACTTTCCCACAAATTAAGTGGAAAAACCACGTTTTCGAGAACTTCTAGAGATATAATTAAATTTACATGGGACTGGGTCCACAAAGTCAAGGTCTAGACAAATTTTGTAATTTTTATCTCTCACTCCTGATCTAATCGCTCAGGATATATTTGTATGCCGAACAGGGTAGAGGGAATCTAGGTCAGGAATATTACTGAATGTTAATATGTATCAGTGACAGAAAAGATAAAATTCTGCTTCATCCTGTTATTTTACAACGTTCTTCTCAAATTTAAAATGCAATATAGTGGAAATTCAATTACCTGGCAATTTTTTAATCGTAAGTTTCTGTCACTGATATATTTCAACGGATATGATCGAGTATCACTGAAACGTTCATAGCAATAAGAACATGCTGTTCGTTCTGTGACGGGGACATGCATTTAGAACATTATTTCCAACTTGCAAAAGTGGTATATGTCGTAATAGTGCTCTCAGGACGCACCCTCTAATGTATAATTTTTGTACTCTTCTAGGTCGTTCTAATACGTGCTGTACAATATGCATTACACGCGTTGCATTTAGAGCAAACATCGATCCACCATCAAATCAATCACTTTTGGATCATTTTAAAGTATATTATTTGCCTGTTATGCAAAAAGAATACCAATACCAGTTTTGACATGCTACTGTGTATAATACATGTGAATGTACTACATATAGTGAATGATTTCTAAAAAGCACACCCGTTTAGATTGCACATCAAGTAACAGCAATTCAATATAATACATGTGAATGTACTACATATAGTGAATGATTTCTAAAAAGCACACCCCCATCAGTAACAGCATTCAATATAATACATGCTACATATAAAAAAAGCACACCCGTTTAGATTGCACATCAAGTAACAGCAATTCAAAAGCCGTGTCGGCATATGCATTAAAATTTAAAGCATCAAAATTTAAAGTATTAAAATTTAAAGCAATCCAGTACGGATTCATTTAGTGCTATATAAAATATTTCATTCAATATTCAGTTTTCGAGACGTATTTCCGACATTACTCCTATTCAGTAGTTCAAGCAACGCTTTTCTGCAGCAATCCTAATTGTTTTCGTGATCCGCCGTTTAAGTATAACACTGCTTCATAGTTTAAGCAGCTTCTTAAGCATGATCTTTCACAAATGTTTCCACTTAAAGAAAATTATTTGAGCTGATTTTTCGGTCAACTTGATCCCTTGATATAACCTGCCTCGATTTCTTTACACGGGTATTAGTAAAAGACTATGTTTACATAACTAAATTATGTGACACTGTTAGACATCAATAACAAATTACGAAACTCCCGAAGTCCTATGTCCCGAGAGTATGAATACTGAAGGAAATAATATACGTAACATAAAAAAGCATCTATTGAAGTATTTTAACATTTAGTATTGTTTCTATATCTTCTTCAGTGATTGTATATTTTGATATAAAGTTCAGTAGATATGTTCATTAACTTACATGATATTCATCACTAAAATGCTCTCAGTTACTTAAGACCATTTTGCATAATTATGTTGCCATAATGTGTACACTAAAAGGTTAAATATTGTTGTAAAGAATGGGGTATTGCATCTTCAAATAAAACTACAAAGTATTTTGCATTAAAATGTTACTGTGCAAGTTCGAATACGTATAACTTTCGGTACGGTTAAAACACGCGTATGCGATATGGATTTCAAATGTGCGTTGTTAATTTAATTGCACGGTATACCTGAAAGAACAATAAATTCTCTTGTTATATTGGATTGTGCAATTCTATCTGTATACATTTTGTCTGCTGCAGTAGGTACAAAATGCAATAATAAAACTTAATTTAAATTGATGAAAATTAAATCATTTTACAAACTTTCTACTTACAAAAGGAAAAGAGACTTGATATGTATCGTGCTTTGGCTACCTAGTTATTTGGATTTTTTATAATTACTGCATTTTACTTTACATAGTATTAAAAAGTCTAAGAACAATAATTTAGAGCCGACCTATTTTCAAATATAATTATGGCTTTATTCGTACTAAATAATGCACTATATTAAAAACGAATCTTCGTTAATGAATATCCATAATTAGCTATGATGCATTAAGTTTCCATTTTCCGCCTTTTATCTTATTCATCATAACAACGGTCTCGATACAAACAGATAATCGTAGCTCTACTGTACTTATACTTCTTCACTTCTATAATAACTGAACTCTATACTATAGACTACTCAGACGATAACTGAAGTCTACACTATAGACTGCTTCTCTTCCACCTATTTATGCGATCATGATTAAAGATAGTTAATTCTTTATAAGGTAATGTACGTGTGTTAAATGAAGATTTTGAATGTTGAAAGCGTATAAAAATTTTAGAGCTGCAATAGCTTAAATTAAATTGCATTTTCGGAATATTTTAACTACTATCATTTTCTAAAATGATGCTTACTCATTATAAAGTAATCAAAGTTATGTACTAATATTAAAAATCTGACGTGGATACCACGTGACTTCTTTCTATCCTTATTAAATTATGCACTATTTGGCTACTAAACTTATTTCCTCGAATTAATCTAGCTTGATTTGTAGAGACGTTAAGTTATTTCGAAGCAAGAGATATGAAAATGGAAAAATGAGCAATGCCCTCGCCGGGACTCGAACGTGGGACCTCTCGAATACGTGTCGAGCGAGCGTGCTGACCACTACATCACGAAGGCATGCTAAGAAGGTTGGTGAAATGTCTTATATACTCCCCCTCTTAGAGGTCGACTGCGGATTAGAGGACCTAGTCGCCTAATCCTGGTAATGAAGAATCATCATCCACCACCTTTTTCTTAGTTAGGGCGCCACTATAGAGATATTAGGTATTTTTTGAAAGCAGTAGAGATGAAAAATGAGCAACGCCTTCACCGGGACTCGAACCACCGGCCTCTCGAATACGCGCCGAGCTTGCTGACCACTACACCACGAAGGCATGCTAAGAAGGCGGGATAAATACCTTATAAATTAACCTGGCCTCAAAGCAAGTTGAAAATTACATTCAAATCTGTTAATTTTGAAATTAGTATCCCAGTCAATTTTTGTACAAAGGAAATCAAATGTTTTTATATTTATATATATATATATATTTTCATAACGAGTTTAAAACTTTCCCACATACATTTATAGAAACCGGGAGACGGGATTAAAAGTTAGATTTCGCTATTTGTCCAAAATTAATTTTTTTTTAATTTGACATTGCCAAAACAGGAATATTTCCAGAATTTAAAACACTTCTGTAATTGGAAGTATATGTCTACAACCAACGTTTGAGAAAATAAAGACCGGATAAGGACTTTTAAACCGGGTTATGGCTATTAAAATACATAAATTTCAAAGTTCTACGAATTGCGTATTTATTTTCCGGTAATTTTATATACATAATAAATTTATTTTTCGGGTAATGGAAAATAAATACATAAATTTCAAAGTTCTATGATTAATAGATTTTGAGTGATGCGAGATACACACGTACATACGTACGAACAGAGGTCACGAATTTTGAATCTATTTCACAATCCGTTTTAGAATAAAGAGTCCTTTATTCTGTCTGTGCGTACAGACTTCGCAAAATTATAGTCAAAATGGATTCGGGAACGGTTAAAATGAATATTTAGATTGAAATCTGAGGCCTGAAATTTTTTCGCAATTATAACACTTCTTCTTTGTATTATAGTAGCGTACAAGGGAAGATAAACTCTTTTTATTAAGCAGGTGTAACATATTTTTTAAGATGTCGTAATTTTTTTTTAATTTACCATGTTTCTCCGATTGTAAGATGTATACTTTAATTTCAGTTCTAGCATTGGGAGAAAGATATTTTTCTATTAATAATTTTGAAATCAAGTGATGATTTGAGTCTTTAATCAAATAAAATAAACAAAATAAAGTATTTAAGCGCATTAAGAAAAAATATTCAGGAATTTTCTTTATTTATTTATTTATCAACATAGTTTTATTAGCAAAGTAATGCAATATTTTAATTAAGATTTTGACAAAATTAATTGCTAAAGAATAATTAGTGTTTCAGAAAACTCACATTAAATTTTAATCACGTTTCTATGAAAATACAGGTGCTTCTCTACAGAACTAAACATAATATGATGTAAACTTTGTAATCGTACTCTAAATTCATTGCAGGTTTCCTAAGTTACGTTTTTACTCTAAAGATGAACCCGAAAACTGAAAAGGCTTCTTCTACAGTACACTGAAGTTATCTGCTGTGTACAAAGTGAAGATTTGTAATTTATAAGATGCATTTTTCTTATGAAAAAAATGAGTTATATATAATTTGATATTTAATCATTTTAGTACATAAGGAATTATCGTTTATCCCCAAGCATGTTGTGATGGTCAACAAATATACTGTGATTTGATTTAGTATCAGCTTGTAGGGTTTATATTTATTTTAACTAACATTTATTTTAAGTTTAAACTATCTTTCCTGTCAAGCCTTACTTTCCCCTGGAACTGCCAATGCCAGAGTATGTAAATTTTAGTAGAACGCGCAAGGATTCAAATTATCAGCGGAAGTATTCTGAGTTAAATAGAAAGGAAACGAGTTCGAGGTGTGCTGTTCGTACTTCACGAGCGCGGAGGTAGTTAGACAGAAATTGAAGAACCCCGCGTTTCGGCCTGTGTGCTTGCCTCGGGAGATTGTTATTCGTTCAACGTGATATTCAAAGTTTGCTGAATTAGCAGCGGTATTGTAAAACGCGTGAGTCAGTTACTTTAGAGAACCTCGTAGTTAGAGTCTTGTTATTATTTTCTTTTCAGGTTCTTATTTTTATTTTACCGCCGGGTCGGCGTAGTTTGTTAGCATCAAGAGCACGCAATTGTAATTCTTGTAGTTGTAATGTAAGTTGAATGTAACGCAATGTAAGTTGAATAAAAAGGGACTTAAACCCTTAGCAAGACTGTCTATTTTCCAGTTTCAACAGTCACCTCTTGGTTGCGTGCAGGTTGGAGGCGCGCAACTCTACAAGCTTACCAAATTTCCATAGATATCTTTTCACTTGCAGCTACAGTCGTTAATTTTGTTTACTGAAAACCAAGAAGTCGTTAAAACGATCGATTCACCTCTATAAAGCTTTTACAACTTTATGCAGCAAATTTAATTTATTCTGCTTGATGTGGTAGAGGCTTACCGTTTTGTCGAAAAGGAAATGGAACTAGCACATTTAATTCCTTACAAATGAACCATAATAAATAAAAGCTGATCATGCGTTAGTTGCATTACGTTACATTACTTAAACTTTCTAAAATTTAAAAAATTAAAAAGTGAAATGGGAATATTAAATACTGTTTCTAGTAAAATAAATTATCGCTAAGAGAAAGGAATTTGATAGAGAGGGGAAAATGAAGAAATTTACCAAATTGGCTCGCCCTAATCATTTCTCGAAAATTTGGAGTCTAAAACTACACTGAAAACTTTGCATTATATGATTTGCACTATAAGAGGGTAAATATGAAGCAGTAATTTAAATAAGTAATGTTAAAGGAATAAGTATTGCATTATTTGCTTTCAAACTGATATTGAAATTTATAAGCCAGACAAAATCTGATTATGATATGGCACCCATCGTTACATGAGTTTCAACATTTCCATTTTAATAAACGGTGAAGTAATATGATTTTATAATCACATATTATCGTATACGCTTCCTTTTTAAGTTAGAAAAGGGGCAAGTATTAAAATTATTTAAACGTGAAATATAATTCAACAATGATGTCAAAAAGTATACAAGAAAAAAGTCTGGAATCTGGAGAATTTATTTCATATTTGCAAAATTTCTGGAAATCATATAAAATTTTCCAAAATAATTGTAGAAACTCGAATCGCAACAAAACTGCCACTTAGAACGTAAACCAGTTCAAGTTATATTTTCGTGACTGAAATATAATGATATAATTACATCAACTCCTATCTACATTAAAATACAGGAAATTCGAATTCCCGCTAGAGTTTCGAAAATTTATTTTAAAGTGTCTATGACAAATACATTAGAAATTTCATAGTAATATACAGAACGAATCTCTTTAAGTTTGCATTCATAACTGGTTTTTTCTGTAATTTGTGCGTTTATCCGCTAGATGGAACTCTTAACAATAGTTGACGATATAACGCAAGCACGTCATTCACGGGCGAACAAAATGTTTCTGCCTTTTAGATGTGCTGAATGGGAGTCGATTTTGACGGTACAAATGAAGACTGTACGAAAGGTCAGGCAAGTCAGTTCTTCAGTGCCTACACAAGACTGGCTGCCTATGCAAAGCGAAAGGCTATCTGAGACCGAAGTCTGCCGCATCATCAGGAATGAATAAATGGAGCACTTATAAGATGTATACAAACTCATGTGCACTTTTTATTGCATTTTTATGGTAATTAAATTATTTAAGAATGAACAATAATACAATATTTGATGCAGAAAATATGCAATTGGAAAAAATTCGTAAACTTATTTGATATTTCCACAATCCAAACTTTGAAAAATTCGCTCCGCAATAGGGGAAAAAAACTATAAATGTAAAATGGCATAGTTAAAGATTAAACGATTTCTTTAATGAAAAATGATAACATAGCCATATGATTCTCTATTTATATGTATATATATATATATATCTTGCGCGTCTACGTATATTATATGGTTAAAATGTAGATTGTACATAACAGTAAAAGAACAGCAAATTTGAAACCAATTTTATTTACCTTTTCGTCATAAGTTACAGAAATTATTATTATGTATAAATAAAAATATATCCATATATATATAATACAGGTAATTATGCATTTGGCTTTCATGGAACATCTGCTTGTATAGTTGTCAATTTGACAATGAACCTAGAATTAAAAAAGCAAGAATTAAAAATTGTCGCCTCCCAGATAAGAAAATTCATAAATAATTTCGAGTCTAATTTTAAATTCTCACTAGCACTAATAAATTGTTACTGTAATGAAATCTTCTTTCTATTCATAAAATTTTCAACAGAGCATTTGTTAATTTGTTTTCTGTTCAAAGAAAACAAAGAGCAAAGATCCTTTTATAAATAAAACATCAAACGATTCTATACTAAATGCATAATCTATGGCTCCAGATATAGTTTCAATGAGTGCAGTAATGCTGCAAATGTACATGATTTTAATTGGATATATTATAAATATAATGTATTTTAAAATATACCAATCATTGTTTTTCTGTGGGAATTAAAGATTTATGGGAATTTTCCTTCCCAAATTAAATGCCCCTAGTTAATTAATCAATGCAATTAATCTCTCGAATCACTAGAGTCTAGTTGAAATTGTATCATGTAGTTAATTTCATGTAGTTAATGTAGTTAATTTCTCAACAATGTTTATAGAAATAACAACTTGTGGGGTTCCTTGGCTTCCAGACCTGACAGTTAAACGGTCTGCTTTATGAAATTTATGCCATTTATTTTCATTAATTTTTATATCAAGCCTAAATGCAGGTCACTTTCTATTATATCATTCCTCCATGAATCCCATTAAAATGCTTAAAAAAACCAGTTTATTTTGTTTAAATTTTAAGTTTTAACTGTATCATGCAGTATAATATAGGTGATTAATAAAACTGTCTGATTTTGCCTTTTGAGTTAAGTTCAGTTTCAGAGTTCACAGCATTGACTTAATGAACAACACTTTATGACACTGGGTAATTAAAAAGTTCTTTTACGACGTTGCTTTATAGTAAAAGTTTCTATTTAATAAATTAGCTTAATTTTAACTCCGAGTTGAAATAATTCCTTCTTGATCAAAACTAATGACCAGCTTTAGAAGCAAATGTTATTCCTTTGCACCTTTTTAAAGTTAGTTATCGGTAAACCCGAGCCGCATGTAAAATCCACATGTATGTCACAATGATAAGACGTATGTGTGTTGTTTGAAAGTAGATCCACTGAAATAGTTACAGTAATAAATAAGATGGGAGCATTAAATTTCACAGCAAATTAATTGTGAAACCGAAGATCAAAATTTATTGCATAAACGACTAAACATTTTAATACCGCGTTTTTATATTCGTAAATGCATCTACTGATATGTTGATATTTGTTGCAAGTTTCAAATTACACATATAAATTAGAATTATTTTTTGTAGAAATTTCTGGCTTAAAAATATAGCAAAGTCATTGCTAGGCAACAGGTAAAATATTATTTTGCGACTGACTACGGAACGAAGTTAGAAACTTTTTTATTATTTAACTATTATGATATATATTTATAAAAATTATCAGCGATCTATATTATAGCAGATAGTTAAGTAATTAAAAAGGGACAAAATTTATATATAAATGTGTATATTTTTAATCTTTCAATTTGTAACCTGAAATGTGCAAAGCATTCTTATAATTTAAAAGACAAATTAAAGAACTTCCTCCTCAAAACTAGCAACAGAATTTACTTATGCGTGTAACTGATTAATGCTGAGATAGCAATATAACGTAACCTCCCGTAGATTATAGGAATTCCTAAGATCTTGAATTTTAAAAGAATGAATTATATAACATCATATTTTTAATTACATCAAAATATTTCAAAAATACGGGCCTAGTATTTTTGGTCGTATATTATAATAAGAATGAATGAAAGGGTTAGAATAAAAATTGCTGATTCTTAAAACATTTGACTTCTTAATGTAGGCTGCATTTGGGATTAGAAATAAAGGTGTAATATATATATTAAGAAAAGGGCAACTACATATGAATTTTCTGTGTGACTAGCCTGAAATTAGCAACTGTTTTGTAAAAAGGGCATATCGTTGATGAAACGAAGGAGTAGAGCATTAGATGAAAAACCTCTGGTTACAAAGGTAATAAATAAATGATTCGGAGGATTATTCACAGCTAAGAAAATTTGTAGAATTGAAGTCTTACTGCTCATATCCAAGACTGTGGTTAGAAAACTGTTTAATTCTTCATGCAATTCTTGGATATTCGTCATAAACGCCCTGCTCAAGTTACTAGACAGCCCCTATACGATGATGTGAATTCAACTGCAGTGACAGAAACCGAGAATACAAAAATTGCGATATATCGATTTTGAAATCGCATTAATCCTTTCCTCTCCCATCTACTTAATGATATCAGTTTCAAAACTAAATAGAAAGTGGAAACTGATGTAAATGATTTTGATCCTTCTGGTTAGTTGCATGATATTCTAACATATGGAATGTTTGTAAATAAAACGTCAGAGGGCAATTGTTCTTAGTCATATAATTTTAGCAAGAATGAAATTTTGAAAGCAGAAGAACGATGGCAAAGATATCTGCATATATTTTCGGATGTTATTTGTTCAGTATATTCAGTAGTTATTTTTAATATTTTCAAGTTTTAATTTCAACAAAGAATGATAAGCGAATTCCATTGCTCTGCCATTTTGACTACCGAGAAGAGAAAAATGGGTAAAATACTTACGTCAGTTTCCTGTAATGTCTCGTCAATGATGATATGCTGGCTCAAAATGGCGTCCTATAAAGCTCTGTGCGTGAACGGGGGAATAGGATTGGACATAAGCTGCAGGTACTCCAACAGAATGGGCTGTAGGTAACCCTATAATATGGGTAGGTACTTTAGCAGCTGCTACCGGATGGTGAGCAGGATAATCCTGAGCGACGGAATAAACAGTCAATGGAGCAACTGGTGCTGAGAACCCGAATTTCAGAGGATTGTACCGGATATCGTACCGGACACTTGTGCCATGAGGACTATGAGGAGGGACATACAATGGATTTGGATAGGCATAAGATGGATCGTGCTTGATTATCAAGCTATTTCCATTGTATGTGGCAGTGCAAGAAGAAACGAAAATTACCAGAGCTATAACAGTAATCTGTAATTAACAAAGAAAAATAATTTTTAATTATGAGTTTACTGCATATAATAATAACAGTAGTTTTCAAATATATGATAAAAACGATTGCCAAACTAAAAAAATATCAAATGCAAAGAGAATTGGTCATAATATTTTGAAGTACAGTAATCTAAAAGTGTTCAATACTACTTGCCTATGGTAATCTTGACTATAAGCACGAATATTCATGCTCGATTCAGACTAATGTTTTATCGCTCATCTTAACTTTTTATTGTTTTCTCTTAACGTTAAAATATCGACATCCCTTACTTTCACGCTAACCATGGATATAAAATATAAATGTATAATTAAAAACACGAAACACTTTATTATTACTTTATTTAATGGTGGAAATATACTACTATTAATAATTCATTAATTAAAGGTTATTTATGTGTCTTATGTAAATGTTATCCGAGTTTTTTAGGGGGGAGTTAGAGTAAATTTGAAAAGGCTTTTCGCTTTTTCGAGACCGCTTCACCATAAGAGGAATGCCTTCGTGTAGAATTTAAAGGAAACCGGTTTGTATTCCGATTCACATGAGGAAAATCAAAAACCGCATGCAAGTATGTTAACTTTATAATATCGTTGCTGCGAAACACTGCAAAAACTAGTCATGTAAATTTTATGTCATTTTTGTATACCTATTTCATTATTTTTCTTTATATATTACATAAAATTTCCTACTGGGATGACATTCAATTCTGCATGGCTCGACCTTGGACGAATGTCATCTTGAAAACGTACGGTCCGTTCTCTGGGAACCTGACTCAGGGCGAAATACCAGTATTCAGTATTATCATCGCTCGGCCACTGGTAAACCAGAAATGCCTCATTATACAGGATTTTCGAAAAAGGCCTCATATACTTAATAACTTTAAGTACTAATTCTGCACATGTACTTTGAATCACAAAGTTTTTCAAAATAATATGCAGAATATTTTGAATATAGTCTCAAAATTGGTGATTCGGAGAGCTCTTTAAATATGAAACGCATCTTTTTTTCTGTGGACTCCAGGAAAATAAAACTTCTGATTAGCATATTGCTTGGTTAATAAATTAAATAATAGAGGTTTTCGTCTTTAATGTGCAAAATGCAAGGAGATATGCGTCAATTTATTTTCTGACTTTTATCAGTTTTCAATGCTTATCACCGAAAAGCTGAAGGCTATTTGCTCAAATTTAGGGGAGAGGCTACAAAATAAATGTTGTTCTCTTCAGTGATTATTTTTCCCGTATTGGATAAAACTGCGCTGTGAAATTTAGAGTAGGCCCATTAAAAATGTTGAATGATAATCAAGCGTAACTTAAAACACGTAGTGATGGAGGTAAGTAATTAAAGTAATTACAATCTCAACTAACTCTTGCCACGTCTGTTTTAACAATGTTCCTCACTCACCTCCACAAAGACACACACACAAAAAATTTAGCTAATTCTTTTTTTTTTTAATGTTATCAATTGCATTAGGTTTTACTAAATTAAATGAATCTGTAACCAATGATAGAGCTTATTATTACAGACCAATTTTATTTTGATGTACTTTTGTAAAAAAAAAAAAAAATGTAAAAAAAATTTCTGCATGTAGTCAGAATTTTGAAATAATTATACTTAAGTAATTAAACTGAAAATGAAAATTATTATTTAATAACTAGTAAACCATTCAAGATATCATAAAAAGGAATTAGAAATGTCAGTTTTTTCATTAAAATTCTATGTAAGTTTGGAATTACTTTCACGTGTAATATAATTCATGTGTAATTTTGTATAACAGGAAAAAACAAAGTTGTGTAAGTTACCAAAAAAATCACTCGCATCTGTTTTATGTTATGCTGAGTATTGCTTTATTGTTTTCCACTGCAAGGTTCAGATTTTGTAAATGGAAGATAAGAACATATAGAAGATTCAAAAAGGCATTTTAATTTGAAGAGGTTTTTTACTGTAAGAAGATTGGATCGTACTACAAATGGAATTAATTTTCATTTTAGTATATTTTCTACTTTTTCAAATATTAAGAATAAGAGCAAAAGATTATTATAGCTTTGCTTTAATACTTAACTTTAATCATTGAAATAAATATATTTATACATATATACTAATAAAACAAGTGATCCGTCTATCAGGAAATGCCTCAAACTTTGAAAGAAATATTATGAACACAATTTTAGAAGAAGATTAGCAGACATAGTTTTAATTTTTAGGCAGATTTCCTTTTTTCAGAAATTCTATACATTAACCTAACATTTTTTATAAGTTTAAAACTGCAATCATTCATCTACCTACCAGAATAACATGACAAATTATTAGTGTTAAGGATAAGAGGTTCGACTCCTCGAATTCTGTGAATCTCGGAAAAGATTCAAAATTCGAAAATTCAGATTTTGTCGGGTTTTTTTTTTTTAGTCCAAAGGGATTTGAGTCCCGAAGGACTATTACTTTCGTTTTGGCATTTTGCGTCGGACTCCTATAAATGTCGGTTCACTTTTCAAACTGTTGCCACAAAATGTTAGAATCCTGCATTATATTTGAAGAAATTAAATAATGAAAAATCGACATAACTGTATGTATATTTCTCCCATTGGAATAAAACAACGGTACATAGAGCCATCGAATTTTGAATGAACGTAATCCTACTGCGAATATGGGCATGAAAGACCCAAATTTGAAATTTGGAATTTGTTTTATGATCGATTTCATATTTTGTAAAACTTTAACGAATTTTTGATTAACAAACTCAAGATTTCAAAGCGAGCAATGGCAACATTTTGCGAGGGGGAAAACATTTTTATCTCCAGCGCGTCGAACTCTGTATCGGAATTCTAAAGATATGCTCGTTTTAAAATTATTTTGCAATATTGCTGTTGAACTGGATTTTAAGTTTAAGTGCAAAGAACATGATATTTAATAAATAAAGGTAACACACAAAATGTTAAAGAAACGCTCCTTTGGACATAATTTAAAATCTGAACCATTTCAGATTTTTTTTTCTTTTTTTTCCCCGTCGTTTTGATTCCTTGACTACTGATCTAAAAAACTATTAATTATTTTAAATCAGAACTTCAGAAAGCTTAGTTTTGTTGGCTTCCCATAAAAGTGTTCACGGAAAAAAAGTCACTTTCCGAGGATCTTGAGGGCCAATTTTTTTCAATAGTCCATCTAATGAAATTTGCTGGAATTTTCACGTAATAGATAATTTGTGCTTTCTCTAAATTAAGTCTCGAATTGTGTACTTGATATATAAAAGCTATGTACACTTCCCTGCACTTATCTATTAATTGAATTATTCAGCCATTGTTTTTGTACTTTAGGCTGCACCTGAAATTTGAAATATTACCCAAATGATTTTGCGAAACCATAGAGAAAATGATCGTCGAGTTTCAAGAATATTAATTATGCAGTTTATTTACTAAATCCCATTTTATCTCCTTATTAAATATAGGTGTATTTTTAAGAGCTGTATCCTTAGTTTTGCACTTCAATAAAGGCAAATAGCACAAAACTTTACTTAATTTTACTTGATTAATATGCTTCCTTTTATTTATTTTTATTTGACGGATTAAAGATTTTATACATTCGAGGAAATTAAAAAATTCGCACTTGATAAAATTTAGGATTCGTCCTTCCCCTAAATAGAAGAAAGCATTTTTTGTGCAGGAGAAAGAATTAAGTTGGGAGAAGTCGGAACAGTCATAACTTCTTCCTTAAAGATAAAGACACGAGCGACCGAGCGGTAAAATCGCTGAACACTGATAGTTCGGTCGAAGGTTAGAATCCTGCGAAAGAAGCCAGCTGCATGGGCGTTTTCGTTGTTTCCCTCATGTGTAACGTCTTTATAAAAATTTCCTTCACAAAGACGTCCACGAAGGCATTCTTCTCCTCTGGCAGATAGCCTTCGAGTGCTTTGCGATAATCAGATAAACCAAACCAAACCTTAAATATAAACGTTTTCTGCTGGTGGTTGTATGAATAACAATATTCAACGCTGGTCGTTAATTCGGGATTCGATTTCCTGCGGCTGAATAGGCTGCTATGTAGGGTTTCCTTAGTGTTCTTGTTGAAACAGATACTCATTTTTACAAAACTCCTATCAAGGCATTATTCCTAAGCATAAAAACCGTCTTTCTAATAAATAACCTATCGCGAAATTAAGCATTATACATTAAAATAAGTTCTGTAGAGACCATCAAGCATTTTATTTTGGAGCTGGAGACTTGAAAATTGTATAATGCCTTCACCGGGATCCGAACTCCGGGACTTTTCGATAGCCAACCACGCGTGCTTTCCTATTACCCCATGAAGGCTTGCGGTAATGAGGGAGAAAATACCTTGCCGTTTATTTTCACTCAATGCGCAATTAAACTGGATAATAACTTTTGAAAAGTAAAACATAAGTTCACTTAAAATTATAAAACTGCTGAATTTAATCTACAACTTCCAGTGATTCTGAAAAATCGTAGCCTTCACTTAGCACTTAAAGTCAAGCTTTTTAAGTACTAATTCACTTTAAATTATTAAGTTTTTCATTTTAGAAAAAATAACGTATTGTTATTGATAGATAAAAGTAAACTTACGAAAGGCCAATACTTACGGTGTTCATTGTAGTGCTGTAAAGTATTCCAAGAGCTTTAATACTTGTAAAGTGTTCCAAGAGCTTACTGAAAATCAGCAAAAAAAAAAGGAATGTCTAAGGCGAATGCTGAATTCTCCTTGCCCGGCTCTCTATATATATTAGGTATCTGCAGCATCGGACTCATTCCTTCCTTTCAGTGATTCTCAAAACCAGGTCAAATATTCTGTTTTAACAATTGGCAACATGATACAATATTACTATCACTTAACACTACATAAAGATAATGCATTGGCTCCCCTATTTCTGAAAAGCACAATGAAGCAGCCGGAACAATGTCTCAGAAGCTCATAACAGGAAGAGAAAAGATGGTTACCATTTCAATTGCAAGCAGGGAGCACTTAAAAGAGAAATATCTTCAAACGTGATCTAGAACATAATTATTGTTAAGCAGTAAACAGATGCTTGAATCACTTTGTAGTATTCTTTTTTAAGTAGTTTAAAAACCTCATCTAATTATTTATGGCTTTCTGTATAGCAGTTTTCTAGCATACAAATGTGTAATGTGATGCAAAGCTAACTAGGTAAAATAGGAAATACCATTACTTGTTTCTTACATGGTGAATCGTTTTTAACTTAATAACATTTCTGGTAAAAAAAAAATATTTTGACCCAATCTATCGTTGGGAGCCGAGCTGATGATGATTAAGTTGATGAAATTATTTAAATTATACAGTTTTTAATTTCAATTAATATTTTCCAGTTTTAAGCTTTATAACCTTCAAAGAATAGTTACATTTGCTTTTAATCGATAATTTGTTTTGTATTTCATTACCAACAAAAAGGATAATGTCCCACAAACTTTTGTTTTTATATTTCAATTCGCTTAAATTATTATATAATTATTTCATGAATTTTCTGCAGTTATTATCAGTTTACCAAATATATCACGAAGTATTTTACTACTTACTTCTTTTAAACTCTGTTTTTAAAAATGTAAGTTTATTGTCTCTTACTTATGTTAACATATTTTCCCAGCTTCTTTTCTGATAGAAAATATTTTGCCCTTTTTTGCACTTTTTGGTTAATATATTATGCAGTATTAGCAGATATCTATTACTTTTTAAAAATGTATTATATTTTAATTACAGAAATAATATTTTATTTTGTTTTCTCACCTTGCTCTACTAATACTCATTATAGTTGAAGTTAAGCTAAATAATACCAGTATAATGGCTTGTGAGTGTTCAATAAATTTATATTTATTAAATTAGTTCTTGGAAGACTATTAGTCAGATTAGTTTCATGATGCAAATATCTGTCTCATGAATTTCTCTTGCCCTCCCCAGATATTTTAAGTTTTCATATAAATTTTCCTGTAACTCATAGCCCATAATTTTTCACATTATTTCAAACTATATAACTAATAAAGTATTGAAATTATAGCTATTGATAATATTAAAGTTCTCTCTAAATATTAAAGTAATTGTCCTTCATTTTAAATCAATAGCTGGAAAGAGTTAATCAAGAACCAAGAATTTCCATGTAGTTGTCAAGCACCTAGACAGGAGGGAAGCGGAGTTCTCGAAACTCCACAGCGCTTCGCGTGCTTCTGCAGTGCACAGATAATAAGAAAGTGAAAGTATTTTTGTTCATGATAAACGGGGATACATAATTTTGCCCAGTATTTTACAGATTTTCTGTAAAAAAAAGATCGTCTCAATAAATATTTTTCGCTAGGTGGGCTTTTTCCGTTAGGTATCACCTTAGGTCGAAAGCCCTTTCAGTGGTGCAAAGTATTAAACAGATGTTGTCTTACATCTATCTTTAACCAGAATTTAATATTAAAATATGTAATATTTTTCTATTTGTTTAATTCTACTACACAATTTAAAGCACGAAGTTTGATATGTATAAGATCTAAATAAACAAGGTAATTATTAGTAATTAAAAAGCCAAATACTTGCGCTAAAGTTGCTAAGTAATAAAATAAGAACTTATATTCCTAGTAGATGATATATAAAAATCTCTTCTCATATAGATACATATATCTTTTATTTTTGCATATGTTGAATTACATCTGTTTTATATGATTTTGGGCTCGGTGCATTCAAACTGAAAATTTTAATTAGATTTTCAAGCATTTTTGCTTATTCATGAATTTTGCTGTCATTTTTTACTTGACCTGAATATAAAGCCGAATAAATGTGTTTAAAAAATTTTATATGGTTTTGCATTTTCCAATTTTGAATTAAATAAATTGCATATGATTTTGTTTTTTCAAGTGTTGGATTATTATTTTTGCAAGTTTGGTTTTTAAACTCCATCTACTCAAAATATTTTTTTAATTTGTCTTTTGTTTCGCTATGTTTTCGGATTTGTCGTTGTTTTATATGCAATAATTTTTGCACTGCTTACTTCGGCTTGAAAGCATTGAAGTGACAGAGACACAGATTACTTTGACTGTCTTTCTAAGATTATTTTTTTCCAAGAATTATTTTTTAATTTTTAATTTAATTTATGTCTTTATCAATTCAGAAACAGACTACTTTATTTATTTATTCTTTCGTTGCACCAGCCGCCTGATGACGATGCAAAGAAAGATGTAAATATCATTTTTCGTTTTGGCCAGTTTTGCCGGGCTTATCATGACGACTTAGAATATAATAAGACCTTTATTAATAAAAGTTAGGTCAAGAAAATTTTGGTTAATAAAATTATATAATAATATAATGACATTTCATAAATAATGGGTCCATAAGCAATGCGATAGACTGTAATACATCCAGTTTCTTACGACTGAGGGGACTATTCCTTTTACATCTTTAATTATTTTTCCAACCATTCAGAGAGATCCCAGTACGATGTTGATCACAAAAACTTAAGAGTTTGCTAAAGTATTTAGTAAGATGAGGGATACATCTCAGCTGCAAGGATTGCAAATCAGCCTCGTAGAGAACGATTTCAGCAGGAGTACTGTTGTGAAGTTCTGTAATAAGGCGAGCTGCACGCAATTGTACCCTTTCCAGTTTTTGAAGATTTGTATCCGAGGCGACATGATAGATTTCAAAGCCATATTCAAGAATCGGTTTTATAAGGCAGGTATAAGTTGTCCTTAAAGTCTTGGAGTCAGCGCCCCAGTCGCAGCCAGAGATAAATTTCAAAATATTCAGTCTCTTTCTAGCTCTAGATATCAGTAAATCGATGCGCTTATTATGAGTAATTTTAGAGTCAAGGACAAAACCAAGATATTTGTATTCCTCTCACACTATAAGAGGTGAACCTTTAGGAAATTTTCGGACTTTAACTATATACCTGCCTGCTTTTATAAAGAACACAGTTATAGATGTAAGAGGATTAAAACTAAGTTTGTGGTCCCTAGCAAAATCCTGAAATTTTCCGAACTGAATTATTTATACTGGATTCGAGATTGTCAATGTTTGGATCACTACACCAAAGTACAATGTCATCAGAAAATAAACAAATTTTGCAATCATGAGTAATAAGAGATTTCATTCTGGAGATGTATAATGCAAAGAGGGTGGGACTCAATATAGAACCCTGAGGAGTCCCTTGTTTTGATCAGTATCCATCAGAGACAGCGCCGTTATATTTAATATTGAAAACCCTATTTCTGAGAAAATCGCAGATCCATTTTTGTATGAAATTTTTTTTTAAAATATACAACAAATAATAAAGAGTACAGCCATTAAAATTATACAGAATTTCTTTTTCAAACAATTTTTTTGTATCACAAAAAAATAGAGAAAATTACTTGAAAATAGGTGGAATTTTAATAACACACCATAGGTGAAAATTCTGGGTCTCCTTGTGATATGCTGCCATCTACTATTTAAAAAGAAAAGTTCAAAGTATATTATATAGTCATTTTTATTCATTTACGGTTGAATTTAATGGTTTCAGAAGCGATTCAAGTTGGTTTTTCCATGTAGTGGAACACTGAGCAACAAAGGGTTCACAGGTATCGATTCATCTTTTTATTTCTTGGTAAGCATAGATGCGCTTAATTTCTGCATTCACTTTATTGAGCTCAGTTCTAACAGACATTTATCCTACCTGAATAATTTTTTTCTCTTATGAATAAGAGGCCTCACTGTAGGTAAAATATTTGTGAAGTTGGGTTGGAAATTCTTAATATTTCCTCTTGGGATAGCTTACTTAGCAGCTCTTAAAATGATCTCTCTGAGATAAAGGGCAGTGTTGGTCCAAATCATCGGGAAAAGTAATCGCAATCGTAATCGTATTCGCAATAGTTTAAAATTATTAAATAAAAAATAAATATTCGATAAAAATAATTATTAAATAATTATTGATAATAATTATTCGAATTACTCGAAAATAATTATTTGATAAAGATCCAATTACCTTTTTTAAAATTCTAGTAGTTCCTTTTAATAACATTTATTCTTAATAGAAACTTATATCCGGTCAGTATAGGTAAGTAATCTCTTCCTATGTTATCCAAAACATTCTATTTGCATTTAGAATATAAATCAGGATTTACATTAGGAACATCGAAAGCCTCGTTTGTAGCATAGCCATAAAAGGAATGAGTTGGAGATTTGTCTTTTAAGAACAAGAGAGTTGTATCATCAACAATATTTAATCATTGAGCGCCACTCTGATTGTTGGAAGAGCCACCCCATTATTTAGTTTTGGTATTGAGATTTCCCAGTAGAATAGTCTATTTATTTGAAATAAGTGACAAGCCATCATACAAGCCTCTGCATTCAGGTGGTAAGCCTGCATTAAAAATTTGTATTCCAGTCTAGAGTTATAACTTGTATTTTTAGGTCATTTTATGTATATGACAATTATTCGAATTATCATATACTTCGTAAGTGATAATTATTCAATACGTAAGTTCGTACTATTCCCAGTGTAACTCTGATTAAATATCCGGTTATAACCACGTGCAGTGCTGATAAGGACCACGTGTTTCTGAGACTCCTTCCCCTTTATTTTTCTTCTTTCTAGGTATTTCTTTCTCCTGATGAGGAGGACCTTTAGCTGCCCTCGAAATCGATTGTTTCAATATACTACGCTAAATACAAGGTTGTTTTAACGATTTTGATTGTCACATTAGCGTATTTCTCTTCTAGTTCTAGTCTTATATGATAATCTCTTAATTTAAGTTG